GAGCGCGGGTTACCAGCCGAGCCGTGAGGTCGGGATGCGATGTGCGAAAATGGCGGGATGATGAATGATGCGATGGTCGCGAGTGGTAACGGTGCTGACTGAGGTGCTACAGTGATGTACGCGTTGAGCAGAGATGCGAAGTAAGGAAAAGGGAATTTCCTTACACTACCCCCCCCCCCCCTCCTAAAAGGTCCTCCTTACGAAAGCGCGTGGACGTCTTTGAAGTTTCGGCTGCGTAGATAGTCGGTGACGACAGGGTGGTTTTCAATTCTGTCCAGGGGAACCCAGTTGTCTTCGGTGGGTGTACGATCTTTCCAGCGAATCAGTAACTCAACTTTTCGGGCCCCTCGAGGGTCGCGAACTCTGTGGCTCAAGATTTTGTCGGGGGTGATGACTGGTTCGGTTGGTGGTCGTGACATGCTGGATGGTCGATGTCGTGGGAGTTGGCTGGTGGATGGTACGTAAGGGCGAAGCAGGCTGACGTGGAACGAGGGGCTGACGTACCAGTCAGCAGGAAGGAGGAGGTGCGCGGTGACAGGTGTGATCATGTGACTGATTCGAAATGGCCCGCAGTATCGAGGGCGGAGTTTGGGAGTGATGGGCAGGCGGAGGTTCTGAGTGTCGAGTTAAACGAGGTCGTCGGGCTGATAAGTGACGGGTCTGCGGTGGCGATCGGCGTTGCGTTTAGCAATGATATTTGATTTTTTAATTGCTTCTGCTGCCCTGGTCCGTGCTGCTTGCAAAATCTCGGCGAACTGTTGTGCGCGTGGAACGGGATTGTCGGGGTTTGGTGTCATGGGTACTGTTGGGTTCTGTCCGTAATTCAAGTAGAATGGCGACTGTTGGGTCGTGGCAGATGGCGCGTTGTTGTATGCGAACTCGATGAGAGGCAGCTGCTGCTCCCACGTGTTTGGATCGTCACACGTGGCTCGAATGAGTTTCTCCATAGTCTGGTTTGTCCGTTCTGTCTGTCCGTCGGTTTCGGGGTGATACGATGAACTGAATTGAAGTCGCGTGCCGGACTGCTGCCACAGGTTCCGCCAGAAATTACTGGTAAACTTCGTGTCCCTGTCGCTGATGATCGACGCTGGTATCCCGTGCAGTCGAACGACGGTGGCGATGAAGAGTCGGGTTGTTTCCTCGGCTGTGATTGATTTCCTGCATGCTGCGAAATGTGCCATTTTCGTTAGTCGATCGACGACGACCAGGATCGCGTCATTCCCACTCGCCCCGGCCGGTAACCCCGTGACGAAGTCCATCGTCACCTGCTGCCAAGCACGCTCTGGAGGTGGGATTGGTTGTAATTGTCCTGCCGGCCGCTTCCTGGTTGACTTCATGAGTTGGCAAGTGGGACACGATGCCACGTGTCGTTGCACGTCGGTCAACATTTCCGGCCAGTAATAGTACCGCTGCAGCTGCTGCCGTGTTTTTTCTACTCCGAAATGTCCCGAGGTAACTCCGTCGTGTGCCTCCTGTAACAATAGTTCCCGTAGTAGCGTGTACCCTGGTACCCAGATGCGGTCGGATCCAGCTTTTACGTAATAGGCTCCCTTGGCTGCTGCGAATTGCTGTGAATTTCCTCCTGTGAAGAATGGGTCTGTTTGATATCCGTGGGTAAATAGTCTTGTCAGTAACGGGCTGGTCTGGGCGAGTAGTATCGCATGTATTTGGGCAGTGGGGCGGGTCAGTGCGTCGGCGATATTCGAGGCTCCTTTTTTATATGTGACCGTATAGTGGAAATTCGATTCGAGGAAGTCGAGCCACCGAATCTGTCGTGGGTTGAGGTGGGGCTGTGCGCGAAGGTACTGTAGGGATCGATGGTCTGTCCGTACTGTCACGTCTGCGCCGGTCAAGTAGCAACGCCACACTTTGAATGCATGCACGATCGCGAGCATTTCGCGGTCGTGTATCGGGTAATTTCGCTCAGGTGGATGTAGCTTGCGTGATTCGTAGGCGATGGGTTGGAGGCCGTTGCCGAAGTCCTGTAACATTACGGCTCCGATGGCGATGTCACTCGCGTCTGTAACAGCTTCGAAGGGGCGGTGTGGGTCAGCGATGCGTAGGACGGGTGGTGAACAGAGAACATTTTTCAGGGCAGAGAAGGCAGCATGCTCTTTCTCCCCCCACGTAAAAGGGACCCCCTTACGCAGTAAATCAGTGAGCGGGGCTGTTAAGCGTGCCATATCGGGGACGAACCGACGAACGTAATTAACAAACCCTAAAAAACTCTGTAGTTCCGTGATGTTCGTCGGGGGATGCCACGCTTTTACGGTATCCAGCTTCTTAGGGTCTATCTCAACCCCAGCCTCCGAAATGACGTGACCTAAAAACTCTAGCCTGTCCCGAAAAAACTCGCACTTGGAGCCCTTGGTGAGTAACCGATGTGCCTCTAAAATTTTAAAAACTGGTTCGAGATCTACTAAGTGCTGCTGCTGGTCCCGACTGTAAACGAGGATGTCGTCGAGGTAAACTATGACGCATTTATCTAAAAGTGGCCTAAACGCCTCGTTCATGGTCATCTGAAATGTTGCAGGCGCGTTGGTCAGCCCGAAAGGCATCACCGTGTACTCGAATGACCCGTACCTAGTCCTAAATGCTGTCTTGGCGCAGTCCGATGGTTCGACCCGAATTTGATGGTAACCTCCCCGTAAGTCTATTTTCGAAAATACTCGTGCGGTTCGCAGCTGGTCGATCAGTTCGTCGGCGCGGGGGATGGGGTATCGTGATTTTACTGTTACCCTGTTAAGCACTCGGTAGTCGATGCACATGCGAAACCCCCCGTCGTTTTTCGGTGTGAACAGTATCGGTGCGGCGAACGGTGACGAGCTCGGTCGGATAAACTGCTTCTCTAACAGGTAATCTAACTGCTTCCTTAGCTCGTCGAGCTTGGGCTGTGTCAGTCGAAATTGGCGCTGTACAGTTGGCTGTGCCCCCGGTTCTAACTCAATCCTATGGTCATGCGCCCGCTGAGGTGGCAGCCCTTGCGGTAAGTCATCCGGAAAGATACCCGGGAACCGTTTCAGTAGTGCCTGTAGTTTGGTTGGTACGGCTGCCAACAGTTTCTGCAAATCACTCGGCCGGTCCTCTTTTTCCACTAATGCGATATCCACTGCGTACACGTCAGCTTCAGCAGCGACAACCCGTTTTATCGTGATGGCGTTGACCTGGACCGTCGAAGACTCGGGTGGCTGCCAGCGAGGTAGGACGACCCAGTTACCACTACTTCGCACTGTGCAGCTACCCGTCGTCCAGTCAATTCGTGGGTTATACCGTCGCAGCCAATCACGTCCCAATAAAATGTCGTGCCCATCCAGTGTCGTTGCGAGCATTTCCTGTGTAAACCCGAAGTTCCCTCCGCAGCGGACCTTTACTCTCTCCACCTTTTCCCGTATAGCCAGTGGCGTGCCGTCGACTAAGCGTGCATCTATCTCAGGTAAGCATCGGTTAAGTGTTAACTGTAATTTCCGTGCGGTTGCGGTATTAACTAAGCTGTGACTTGCTCCTCCGTCAATAAAAATCTTCACTGCTGCTCCCTGTATTTTCCCGTAGATTAGTACCGGGCAATCCGTCGCTGTACCCTCCTTATTCATCCGAGCCCGATCGATGGCATGAATCGGTACTGTGACTCGGTGAGGGTCGGTGTGGTTGGGCGAGCAGGCAGTCTCGTCAGTAGTTGGCCCAACTTCTACTGACTGCTGGCGTTTCCCTGCCTCTGAGACTCCCTCCCCTGCTCTGCTCCTCGGCGCCTCAGCTCCTCTGGGCATTCGCTCTTGCGATGGCCCGGCCTGTTGCAAGCAAAGCAGCGCCCCTTAAACGGTGCGGCACCTGCATTCGTTGCGACGGCGTGTACAGTGGCGTGCTCGGTCGGTCCCCGAGGACGATGTCCGTAATAGGACCCCGGTCTCGGTCGGCGTAGAATGTCGATCTTCTCGGCGAGCGCGAGAATCTCGTTGAAGTTACAGATTCCGCGCAGCATTATCTCGTGCGAGATGTCCGGCTTCAGCCCTCCGACGTAACGGTCCACTCGCTCCGCTTCGTGCATGTAGCCGACCCGCTCGCAAAGTGCGAGAAAACCGCTGGTATAGTCTTGAACTGACCCGAGCTGGCGCCAAGTGCGCAGTTTCTGACGCGCCGAAATTGAAGCCGCGATCGGCTCAAAACGCGCCCGAATTCCTGCGCACCACGCATCCCACGTGCTGTATTGGGCGGTCTCGCAGAACGAACTCCAGGTGACAGCTGGACCCGAGGGCCCTTCCTCGTGCGACGGTGGCTCGTAGGCGCGTGGCGACGTCACGATGACTCGCCACCAGTCCATGGCGGGGCCCCTTAGCAGTGAAACCGCATACCGGATCTTTGCGGCGTCCGACTCGACGTAATTGGCGTCGAAGAAAACGTTCATCGTGAAGACCCACGATTGAACTGTCGGACCGCCGCATTGACTTGGGTCGAAGCAGGGCGGGCGTTGCGGCTTGAGCGGCATTGGTGCCATGTTGGGTTGTTCGCCACTTGTCGCCGCAAATTCCACGTGCCGACGGACTTCCCGAGGCTCCCGTGGGCTTGGTGCGATCCTGTGTCCTCCCATGCCAGGCATCGGCTGTGCGGCGCCCTCACTGGCTGCGCTTGAGCGTTGTCCCGTGCTGTCGTGTTGTGTTGGTGTGCCGGACGAGATGATGATCGGCTCATGCGAACGTGCAGATGCGTTTGTTGGTGCGTGGGATGTCGTCGGTAAGTTCATCGTGGATTGTTGACGGGCGGAGTCACGTTCCGCGGTGAGGGTTGCGATTTCAAGCGCCGAATCCTCCAGTTGACGCACGAGACGATCAAGTTGCTCCTGCGTCAATGTGGCGAGCGTGAAGTCGGCCATGGCGGGGGTGTCGGGCAAGCTCAGCGAGAGCCTCGGTCGTGGCCGTGCGTGCTTGCGAGAGAGCACTACGAGCGGCGGTGCTGTATCGCTGAGAGACGTCTACCCCCCCCCAAAAATTGAGATAGTGGGAAAGAAGTCAGTTCTCGAGCACGCTCAGCAGGTCAGGGGAGCCTGCAGAGCTGTCGAGATCATATGCAGTGTTGCCACTCATGTCCTCCAGATGGGGGTTTGCACCATTTGCCATGAGCAGCTGAAGGGTTGACGGGAGGTGAAGGGAGGGAAGGATGGGGAGGGGAGGAAATCATCCAAGAGATCCCCTCACGATAGTGCTTCTTGAACAAGTTGGCAAGCAAAGATTTAGAGGAAGTGCACTGCTTTGTTTTTTACAGCGATGCTGCTGTTGGCACAGGCAATGTGCAGAAAGAGCAGAAAGGTTTACCTTGGCAACAGCGACGCTGCTGTTGGCACATGCAACGTGCAGAGCAGTGCAGCCGGCATGGTCCTGCGCATTCACGTCTGCTTCTGCCGCCAGGAGCCGCTCCAAATACTGCACGTTGCTGCCACCGCTCTTGCTGCTGCTGGCCTCTGTAGCTGCGGATGCAGCGAGGCGGCAGAGGGTGGCCCCCGGGTCCTTGAGGAGGAGAGCAGCTCCTGCTGCCTGCAGTGCCTCTGCTGCCTTGCTCTGACCGTTCTTCACTGCCTCGAGGACAGGGGTGGCGCCATTGCGATCTGCAGAGGATAAGTAGAGGGAGAGGGAGAGGGGGGCACAGAGGATGGATGTCCATGTCTCACTGTTACTGGGAGATGGATTGAAGCAATGCCATCTGAACAGTCATGGGAATAGGGATACAGCGATGTGCCTCATTGGCGGATGGAAGCGGCGATCCCTGAGCGACAGGCAGATGGCAGACACACTCCAGATGGGACCTCTTAGTTGAACACAGATTGGCTTATAGAAGACTCACCAAAGAATGGCGTTCACTCACATCGGCGCCGTTGCGTGTGAACATGGAAGTGACTATGTATGTGCAAGAGGAAGCTAATACACAGTAGGGGAACATTCTGTTTGTTGGAACACCCACCAAGTGCATTCACATCGACGCCATTGCGCTGCAGAATGGCGTTGATGCAGCTGACATGGCCATGGGCGGCTGCCACATGCTGCACTCACGAGAGACAGGAAAACTGGGCATTGACGAGGTTATGGAAGGTAATAGACTGAGTCACGCTGTGCGTAGGTTTGAAAGCCAATCCACCAAATTGTAAATCCGGAAGTTAGCTAAGTAGGAAACTCAGGCGTGGCGAGATAAAAGGTGGATGAAGCCTGAAAAAACATCGCAGCAGGAAGAATCAACTAGTCTATAGAAGGAGGACAACAGGGTAAACAAAAAAAGGGTCTGGAGTTAGATTGGTAGTTGCTGTTGACTAACGATGGGAGTGAGTTGTTGACTAACGATGGGAGTGAGTTGTTGACTAACGATGGGAGTGAGTGAATACCAGGGGGGTGCGGCCATTGTAGTCACTGCAGTGGGCGAGGGAAGGGGCAGCTGAGAGCAGCTCGTTCAACTGGTCCACATGGCCAGCAGAAGCAGCGGCGCACACACTGTGAGGGGGAGAAATGCAGGAGAGGCGGGATACAAAGAGTGCATGGGCATGCAACACTGCAATGTCCAAACAGTAAGAACCTGTGCTACACGGCCAGTGGCAGCAGCGGCGCACACGCTGTGAGGGAGATTTGCGATGTGAAGAGAAATCTGATGCTGCAGGTGCATGCTACAAGAAGCTACACAGAAGTGTGTAAGCAAAAAAAAAACAGCTCACATACGGCCAGAGGCAGCAGCAGCTCTTACCCCATTTATGGGAAAAGGTGACATGGACAGAAAACACTTCATGCGGTGCGAGAGACGATACATTTGCACACAGGGAGTGGAGGCAGAGGCATACATGATTGACCCGAATTAGGTCACGGTTCCAGACTTGTCCGCCAAACAAAAAATGTCCCTCAGTGACGTGTAAACACACCCGATCATTGGTCACCACACAAGTTTCCAGAAATATTGGAGCAAGGAAGCCAATCAAACGTGTACTACCGTCTACACTTGTCCAGACTTTTATGGCGGGCGAACTTCAGAACCGTCATCATAGACTCCACAACCACCTGGCCCGCAGCCAAGCACCACCTGGCCCGCAGCCAAGCACCACCTGGCCCGCAGCCAAGCACACGCAACAGGTGGATAGACCTTGGGGCGACCACACACCTTTCAACCTGATCGGCGTTCCCACTGTCCACAGCTACAGACTCCAGCACCACCGGGCCAGCAGCCGCCTTGCCCTGAGCTGGCTCCTTTGGGGTGGCGCCGAGGGCCTTCCATGAGGGCTGTGAGCGGGCCAGGCCCTGTGACGCTGCGATCTCCAAGGGCGTGCGCGTGAGAACACATACCTTTCAACCTGCTCAGTGTTCCCACTGTCCACGGGTACAGACTCCAGCACCACTGGACCAGCAGCCGCCTTGCCCTGAGCTGGCTCCTTGGGGGTGGTGCCGAGGGCCTTCCATGGCAGCTGTGAGCCGGCAAGACCCTGCAAGACTGCTAGCCCTGAGGGCGCGTGCGTGAGATGAGAATACGAACCTTCCAACCTGCTCGGCGTTCCCACTGTCCACAGCTACAGACTCCAGCACCACCGGGCCAGCAGCACCCTTGCCCTGAGCAGCCTCCTTTGGGGTGGCGCCGAGGGCCTTCCATGACGGCTGTGAGAGGGACAGGCCCTGTGACACTGCGATCTCTGAGGGCGTGCGGGTAATAACACGCACCTCTCAACCTGATCAGAGTTCCCACTATCCACAACTACCGACTCCAGCACCACCGGGGCAGCAGCACCCTTTGCCCTGAGCTGGCTCCTTTGGGGTGGCGCCGAGGGCCTTCCATGAGGGCGGTGAGCGGGACAGGCCCTGTGACACTGCGATCTCCGAGGGCGTGCACGTGAGAACATCTGGGCCATCGATTTTCTGCAAGAAGGAAGTGGGGAGGAAGGGTATCCATATAGGGTAGACAGAGCAAGAATGTGACAGTGACACGTCTTGTGACATTGCTCGGATCGTAGCATTATCCTGTGAAGTGTAGCATGGAAACTGGTGTGCGACGAAAAGAGGTGACTTTTGAGTCGACTCGAAAGCATTATCCCCATGAAGTGTAGCATGGAAACTAGTGTGCGATGAAAAGGGCCAGCCGATGTATATTAGACCCAGTCTATGGGACCCTAGCGAGTCTCGGCGGTTACCCGTCTGGGCGGTTACCTGCTTGAGGGCGGAGTAGAGGTGAGCAGAGTTGGCAGGGTAGGCTGTGGCGATGGTGGAGAAGGCAGACTTGGAGAGGCGCAGCAGCTGGCTGTGCTCCAACGCTCGACAAGAGTGAGTCCAGGTGGTGTTACACGTGGAAGGGGCTCTATGAAGCAGATTAAACACTCACCTGCTTGAGGGCGGAGTAGAGGAGAGCCGAATCGGCAGGGTAGGCTGTGGCGATGGTGGTGAAGGCGGCCTTGGAGAGGCGCAGCAGCTGGCTGTGCTCCAACGCTCGCACTGTGAAGAGCTGCGGCACGTCACACATCACCGCTGTCTTGCCAAACACCGACTCCGTTGTCAGGAAGGAGGAGCACTGCAGGGGACAGGACAGGAGAGTGCGGTAATGATGGGGTGAACAAACAAGGACCAGCGCAACCCATTCCTTGTAACATATGAAAGGTGCTGAAAAGACTCCATGGTATAGGAATTGGAAAGAATCCGAAGAAATACCACAGGCGAGTAGACGGACATCAAGCAGGAATGGGTGTGTGAAGCATGCAGGAGAGCATGCAGGAGAGCATGCACGAATGGAACTCAACCCGCTAGAAGACCGCAGCAGGCCTGTCTTCACGAACAAGCTTGCTTGAGAGCACAATGTAGAGGTGCGAGCACAATGTAGAGGTGCGAGCACAATGTAGAGGTGCGAGCACGAGTATGCAGACCAAAAGGTTTGAGGCAACCCGCCCCTCTTTGGTGGACTGCTGGCGCAGTTTTGAGATGACATCTCAGAATTCACCCCGCTCTGAAGGGCTGCTGCAGGGCCGTCCTCACGAACAAGCTTGCCAGAGAGGACAATGTAGAGATGGGTTGACACATCGCCCTCCAATGTCACGATGTCATTGCGCATGACTTTTTCCACGTTCACCTCTGACACCTGGTGAGTTCAGCAGAACAGGACGAACAGGAAGAACAAGAAATATAGGAAAAACAGGAAGAACAAGAAGAACAGGAAGAACAGGAAGAACAGGAAGAATAGGAAGAATAGGAAGAACACGAAGAATAGGAAGAACAAGAAGAATAGGGAGAACAGGGAGAATAGGAAGAACAGGAAGAATAGGAAGAATAGGAAGAACAGGAAGAGGGAGAACAGGAAGAAGAGGGAGAATAGGAAGAAAAAGTTACAAGGCAGACACATACGGAATCCAAACCACGTCACCATGAGCACCCAATCTCCATATGTGGAGAGGAACAAGCACATGGCAGAAATAACCCACCAGCTGCTTGAGGAAGGCCTTGGAGCAGAGGCGGAATCCGTCGAGGTTCTCAACGATGGGGAGGTAGAGCTGGCGGGAGACGGTGACTCGCAGGTGGTGGGGGATGCTGGAGAGGAAGGAGGAGGCGTCGGACTTGTGCATCTGCAGCTGCACGCGCAGCTGCTGCTTCAGCTGCCGCTCCACCTCTGCCGGCAGGTTGGTGCGCGCCACGTACGCCTTGAGAGCCGCCATGTCCTCGTGCTGAGAAAGGAAAGTTGCAAGAATGTAGGGAGAGACACAGGGTTGTGGGGATCACAAACTATGCCAAGTCAGCGAGAGGCGAATGTGCAAAAGGTCAATTGCGGAAAAGGAGAAAGTGTTGAATCTAGCAGATATGAGCGTGGGATATGCTAAGGGAGCGAGAGATGGGAGAAGAGAAGGAGGGTGACGTACATATTCCATTGTCTTGCTGGATTGCTTGACCAGCAGCCTTTTGAGTCGACTCAGAAGGGAACGAAAGGAGGGGGAGGAGAGGGAGGGTGACGTACGTATTCCATGGTCTTGCTGGATTGCTTGACCAACAGCAGAGTCAACGTGCCCAGTGTGTACGCCAGCTGCTCGCACAGGGAACAGACGGATGGGTAACAGAACATGAAACTGGAGCCGACGGGTAGAGCGAGAATCTCCGTGGAAACCAAAGCCGTGTGGTACACACCAAGCCGTGGAAAGCAATAGAGACAGGGAGACACTACAGACAAAAACGGGAGATGCAAGCTTGAACGTGGATCTTTGAGAATATGAAGCATCTTTTAACGTGGCTCAAACATGGAATATCATGCATCAATGGCAGTGGCAGAAGCATATGAACCCACAGTTGCCATGCTAAAGAGGGTGTAGAAGCAGCTGAAGGCCAGAAGGCCAGAAAGCTTGAAACAGGAAAAGAGTCTGAAACATTTCAATGTCGATGCCCATGGCAGATGCAAGAATAGAACCCACAGTTGCCATGCCGAAGAGCGCGTAGAAGCAGCTGAAGATCTGCTCGGCTGAGGTGACGGACGTGTACGCGGGGCCGATGCTGGTGATGACGAAGATGGACCACCACAGCGCCGCCATGTATTGCAGAAACACCGACTGCTCAGATGGGAACAACAAAGAGAGAGGGCGAAAAGCAAGAACGGAGGATATTAACTTTACGGAAAGCCACCTATTCACCACTTCGCGCGCTGAAAGGGGAGGGGCAAGACGGGAAAGACGGACTGTATTTTGAGAATTCTCAAAAACCACTTGGCGCGTTGAAAGGGGAGGGGCAAGACGGGAAAGACAGACTGATGGGTTGCGTATCAGCACAAGGCGCTTGCATAAAGAAATATGGACACGGGAGTAGGGTCAAAAAATGACTACGAGGCTCCATTGTCCACGTCCGAATAGGAATCAAAGCATCAGGCTTCGCAACTTCGAGTGCATGAGGATCCGTGAGCGCGTGACAAAGCAAGTACCTGGTCGGGCCACTCCGGGCCGATTCCTTCACCGATCCAGGTGTTTGCAGGGTCGGGCTCCATGAGAGTGAGGAAGAAGTAGGCCACGGCGAAGAGGTGCGACGCCAGTAGGATGTTCTGCGCGCATCCGTGAGGAAAGGGTACATGGGGAAGGGGTACAGGCACGCCGAACGGATACATCAAGCACGCAGGAGAGGCAGGTTGAAGGAGGTTGATGCGGAGATAATTGCAGCAACGGGAGCTAGGCTACGGGCTAGGCACGTGTGCTCGTGTGATCTCTGCGTTCGTTAGTCCTTGGTCGTTTTCCTTGTGCACACACTACTTGCTAGTTCACGAGGAAAATTGGCAAGGGTTTCACTAGGAAAAGGTTCAGAACAATGGTACAATGAAATTGGCATAGCAAGACTACATCAGAGCAAGCATTCAGGTCGGCCAACTGCCAGCGCAGCTTGGTCGACCGCGTTCCAGCACGACTTTGTCGACCGCGCTCCAGCAAGGCAAGGTCGACGGCGTGCCAACGTCGCAGGTTGACGGCGTGACAGCGTTGCTCACGCAGGACAGCAGTGCACCCTGCTTCGCAGTTGTGCGCAGATGATTGGCGCGCAGAGTCTTGTCACCTGCACAGCGCACACACCACGTCAACCTCGAGCTGACGACTGCCTCTGATCCGCCACGACGACCTCGGGATACCACCACCGAGGTCGGGCTCGCCAACTTCGCCTGGGCGACCGTCGCACTCCTCCGCAGAACTTCGTCACCCAGGTAACCTGGTCGACCAGGCAACCACGTCGACCAGCAGCTCCCGTACGTGCCCGTCGACCTCCCAAGTCGACGACCACCTCCACGTCGACCTCACCAGGTCGACTACACCATCGGTCGACCTCCTCCAGGTCGACATCCCTTCTGGTCGACCAGCTCCACGTCGACCAGCACTCCTGGTCGACCTGCTCCTCGTCGACCAGCACAGTCGTCGGCCAACCACCCACGTCGGCCACCCGAAGCTGGCGTCACGAAGTTGACGCCCCGCTACTCGACGCCCAACTGCTCGGCGTCCTGAGTCGAGGTCGACGTCGGCCCCTCCTTCGTCGACCACCAGGTCCAGTCGACCACTAACAGTTCGACCAGCAGTCCGTTAGCCGACTGCCGAAGTCGGCTTCCCCAAGTTGACGTCCTCCGCAGGTCGACACCCAAGTCGACCTCCCTGAAGTCGGCGCCACCCTGAGGTCGGCGCCCGTGCAGTGGTCCCCCGTGCAGATCGACCTCCTCGTCGACCAGCTCACCCACTGCTGAAGGCCGGCTGCTCCCCTCACACCCAACCACGAAGTCGGCTCCGCCCAAGCGAGGACGGGGCCAATACCCAACTCCCGTTGACACTCCCCTGCCGCGTTCACGCTTGGGCACCCAGCCCACACAGCAGTACAGCTCTGAGAATAGCCCGTCAGCGTGCACCCAACACACAGCACGCTGGTCACCGCACCAGCCATGCAAGAGGGCATGGCACCTACTGCTGCACGTCATTGTCGCCGTCGCTCACGTCGGCCAAGCGCACCTGACCGATTGCGACGGAGCACCGGTTGAAGGCCGGATAGTGCAGTGCCTTCGTCAGGAAATCGGCCGGCTGCTCAGCGGTTGGAATGTACCTCAGCGAGAACTTCCCGCGCTTCACCATGTGCTGCAGCCAGGCCTGTCGCCGCTCCATGTGCTTGAGGTTGCCCGTCAACCCCATGCCCTCGGCGACCGTGATGGCCGACTTGTTGTCCACTCGCAGGACAGTCGGCTTCCCGGCGTCCAGTTGCCAGAATTCTGCGAGGAGGAAGCGAAGGCGGCGTCCCTCCTTGCCAGCTTCAGTGGCCGCCACGTACTCCGACTCGGTCGACGACAGCGTCGCGCACTTGATGCGCTGGCTTGACCAGGAGACTGCAGCCCCTCCGTAGACGAACACGTAGCCACCCGTGCTCGTCCTGTTCTGTTTATCACCAGCGTCGTCGGCGTCCACGTAGCCGACCAGCTCCAATGACTCAGGTCCATTGCCGAACTCCAGTGCGGTGTCGCGCGTATTGGCGAGGTAGGCGAGGCAGCGGTCGACCTCGCGCCAGTGCTGGTCGCTCCTCACCGTGAGGCCGCTCCCCAGCTTGTGCAGGCGAAGGCGATGTCCGGCCTCGTCGTCGTCGCCGCGAACTGCAGCGAGCCGACCTTCTACCGGTACTCCTCTTCCTGCCGCTCCTGTGCCTCCTCGTCATCGAACGTGAGCTCGGCGTAGGCATCGACCGAGACCGGCGTCTTCGGGGTGCGCCCGGTCTGCTCCTCGTCGATGAAGCGCCTACGGAGCTTGTCGGCGTAGCCCTGCTGGTGCAGCCACAGCTTCCCCGCCGACCTGTCGCGGGCGATCTCCAGCCCGAGGTACTTCTGCACCGGCGAGATCTCACGCAGCTCGAAGGCGGCTTCCAGAAGCTCCTTCAGCTCCTTCAACATCGCGGCGCTACTGCTGGCGGCAAGTAGGTCGTCGACGTAGACCAGCACCCAACAGGCCACTCCGTCCTTTCCGTCCTTGAAGTAGAGAGCCTCATCGACCTGGCTCTTCTTCCACCCAGCACCGACCAGCACGTCATTGAGCGCCAAGTACCATAGCAGCGGCGACTGCTTCAGCCCGTACAGGCTCTTCAGCAGCTTGCACACCCGGCCGGTCCCGTCGTTGAAGTAGTCCGGCTGGGACATGTAGAGCACCCTGTCGAGCTTGCTCTGCAAGAAGGCGTTCTTCATGTCGAGCTGCATCAGGTTGAGGTTGCGGACGGCAACAATGCTGAGGAAGATCCTCAGCGTGACGTAGTTGCCCACCGGCGCGAACGTCTCGTCGTAGTCGGCGTCATACACCTGCGTGAAGCCCTTCACAACCAGCCTCGCCTTCTCGCGCTCGACGGTGTCGTCGACGTGGTACTTCGTCATCAACACCCACCGGTTCTTCATGACGTTCACTCCCGGCGGGCGTTCGACCAACTCCCACGTTCCCATGTTGAGGAGGCTGCGAATCTCCTCCTCCATGGCGGACTTCACCGCCAGGCCCTTCCAGCTCGCCAACGCCTCCTTCACCGTCATCGTCGAGATGTCCCAACGGTGCTCGAGGTCGGCTAGCATGTCGGGGTCGAGCTCTGGAAACTCCTCATCCTCCTTGGCATCGTCGTACAGCAGGTCGTCGGCCTCATCGGCCACGTCGTACACCGTGGTGAAGGCAGCGGGGACGAAGAAGTCATGCGGTCTCCGAAGTCGGCCTGAACGCCGTGGTCCTGGCTGGACCTCCTCGGCGTCCCCTCCATCGTTGCTGTTTTCGCTGCCCTCGGCGTCTTGCTGCTCCTCAGCCGGCGTCCCAGCCGACTTCTCCCCTATGGTCGGCTCCCCTGCCGACTGCCCGGTCGCCGACTGCTCCTTGGTCGGCGTCACTGCTGCCTGCTCCTTTGTCGGCCGCTGGTCCTCGACCTGCTTCTCGACCTGCTCCTCTCCTGTCGACGTCGACCGCAATCCCACGTCGACCTGCCGCTCGTCACGTCGGCCACCGGCGATGCACTTGGCCGAAGGCGACGTCCCACTACTCCCCTCATCGCCGGAGGCCGACACCGAGGTCAGCCCACGCAGGTCGGCCACGAGGGGAGGGGCAGGGGTCGGAGGGGGAGGGGTAGGGGGCGGACGTCCTCAACGTCCGTAAGAGCAAGCTCACCGACCTCGGCAAGCAGTGGCAGCGTCGCCGACGAGGTGTCAGAGGGCGGGGTGGGCGACGAGCGGCCGGACACCGACCCGTACTCCGTCTTCCACTCGGCCAGCGACAGCTCCTCGTAGAACACCACATCCGACGTGGTGACCACCCGGTCGGCGTTGACGTCGAGGAGCTCCCAGCCCTTGCTCGCCGCCGACACGCCAAGGTGCAGGCCCCACCTGGCCTTCGGCTGCAGCTTCCCACCACGATGCTGCTCGGTAACTAAGAACTGCGCCATGCAGCCCCACACCCACGCCAGCGACAAGTCGGGCTTCTTCCCGGTCAGCAGTTGGTACGGCGTCGTCCCCGGCGGCAGCGCCGACCTCTCAAGGCAGTTGCGGACCCAGACGGCCTGCCGGAGAGCGAGGTGCCACCAGTGGTGCTGCACGCCCATGTGCAGCAGCATTGTCCGCACCGACTCCACCACCGTCCTCATCTCCCGCTCCGCCATGCCGTTCTGCTGCGGGGTGTATGGGCAGGTCAGGTCATGGACGATCCCCTTGCCGTTCACGAAGTCGGTGAACTGCTTCCCGAGGAACTCCCCTCCACTGTCTGAGCGCAGCATCAACACCGACTTATTCGTCTGCCGCTCAGCCACCGCCAGCCACTGCGCGAACGCTTGCAAGGCATCTGACTTCTTGGCGACCGGCTTCACCCACACGTAACGGGTCTTGCGGTCCTTCAGCAACAAGAAGTACAGGCTGCCATCCTTGGCAGCCACGCGGAATGGCCCGCACAGGTCGATGTGCACGACGGCCAGCACATCGTCGGCGTCGGAGCCTTGGTCGGGGAAGGTGTGTCGCGCCAGCTTCCCGCCGACGCACGAGACACACGGGGAGTCGGCGTCCGTCGCCGACTTGAGGTCCAGCCCAGTGGCGACATCGTTCTTCGCTGAGCTCCGTATGGTGTCCATGCCAACATGTGCAAGCCTTGCATGCATCCGGTCCGGCGTCGACTTCGTCTTCGAGACGATCGCCCGCAGAGCCACCACCTCCGACGTGGGCGGCGTCGACCTCGTTGGGCAGGGACGCAGGTCGGTGCAGAGGACTCGCCCAGAGTACGTCGCCCGCCCGAGCACCTCCCCTGCTGCCGAGACGAGCATCATGCCGTCTCCGTCCTCCTGCAGCTTCACTCCGTGCTCCTTCAGCTGGCCGGCCGACAGCAGGTTGGCTCGCACACCTGGGACGTACAACACGTCGGGGATGAGCACCTCCTTCCCGGCCTCTCCTCGCAGAGCAATGGTTCCACTGCCCTGAACGTCCTGCAACGCCCCATTGAAGCCGCACACGTGCTTGATGGAGCCACTCGGCTGCAGGTCAACGAAGGCTTCCTTCGTTCCCATCAGGTGGTGGGAGCAACCGCTGTCGAGCAGGACCACTGCCGGGTTCGCCTGCACAGCCGCCGCCACCGCCTGGAAGTCCTCTCCGGCCTCCGG